GCGAACGATACATATACAAATTACGTGAACATTATTTTGAATCTTAACGTTACACAATTTATCGAGCCGATCTGCAATTATTAATCGAGGAATAAACCGCATATATTTCGTTCAGTTGTGCATTGTGGTTGGAAGTTGCATCTGCGATAACGTACCTTAACACGTTGACAAATTATCTAGTGTTATTTTCCTGAGCACTATCTACTCTAGAGTCTGAAATGGGAATTTCATAAGAAAGACACTCGAGTGCGTATCAAATGCGTCGTTGCACGAAGAGAAGCAGAGCACATCTCTGAGCAGATGACATTCGCGATCGTTATCTTGATAACTCGCGCACTCATAGATGTAATTCACTGTTGAATACGTTCAAAATTAGTTCTTTGCTGAAATGAGACGAAGGAGAAGATATCTCTATTTTGTCCATTTTGCCGCGACAGTGTTACGTAATAATTTAAAATACGCGTACCGTACGACAATGAGATCAATCGTAATTTATTCAATCCTCAAACGGTAGAGTCTTACTGATCCGCTTATTCCTGCTACAATTATCGAATTACGCGATATAAGAGTGAATAATTAAACGGCGATAAAGAGACCGATAATGATTGTTCGTCTGATGAGTGAAACGGTTTCGCAATTCACACGGCAAAAGGTTACGGCAGCTCACGATAATTATATACGCTTTGCACTATAGATGGTGACCCGATGGGGAAAATAAGCGAAGCCTGAGCTATTCTCATTAAATAAATTAATAATACGTTCGTAAACCGTTACTGGAATCGAGATAAGTGTTCGAGATAACAACATCGGATGGTTAGAAATGCTCGCAGCACTTAGGCGTCTCTAAATGATGTTCTCTAACGACGCGTACGTGCCACCGTTGGTACTTGACGAACTGAATCGTAACTGTCTTTCAGAAACTACGCGTTTCAATAAATTCGCAAAATTTTAATTAGACGCAACTGTAAATTCGGCGAATATACCAGATCTCGGATTATGATGGCAGTGAAAACAGTTTGGATCATCCTACATTTGTGAATTCCATGTAATTTATTAGAAGGATATACCGGATTTGTTAATCCTTTTTAACATTGAATAAATAATTCAATAAGAATCTATATAATGCATGTGTATGTGTATATATATTATAAATGTGAGAAAAGATACAAAAATATAATATATATTTCCATGAAATCTATTTGTCATTTTTTTTTTAAATGTGACTTTGACAATATGCATGTGTTAAAGTAATAAAATAATTTGTTCTTTTACCTAGCAATGTATTAAATTAAAAATTAAAACCTGTATGTACAAGTTTATTACAAATATTACAAATAAAATTCAGATAAATACATTTTTCACTTAAAATTGACATATTTTGTTTTCTACAATATCTGATAGAAAAATTAGAATTATTTAATTGTGATTAATTTATTTATAATGCAATCAAACAAAACATCGCGTTTGCAATCAGCTGCAGTTCATGATACAAAAATATATACTGTTGCATAAAAATATGGTAATTATTTAAACATAATTATGACAACATATGTCAAAGTCAAGGTCATTGGAGGGTAGTCTTATACTAAATAATTATCAAAAATATAATAAAGCACACTCGAATCTTGAACGAGGAAGATTAAAACCTTTCTGAAGTAACAATACTTGAGATTAGTCGACAGTATGTATTTTCGGTAAAAATACAAGCGATTAGACGAAAAAAAAGAAAGATAATATAATATATCGCGAAGAGTAAAAGGAAGACAATTTTAACGTCCCACCAATATTCCTAAGAATCCTATCAAGATATACATTGAGAAAAAAAGACTTGTTTTAATGTTATCTATATAAAATCCATACTTAATATATCCGTTAATATCAAGCCGAGGAAAGAACGAAGAAAGGATACATATTTAATGCACGAGCTGTGTGATTTGCTGACGTCTCTTCCTTTCTTCCTCTCTCCTATATTCTCTCTCTCTCTCTCTCTCTTTCTCCTTTTGCCAACATCATTTCAACATTACCAAATTATTTGATTAACGCCGGCTGCTTGGACCGTTACACATCTGTTGAGAAGAGAGACAGAGAGAGAGAGAGAGAGAGAGAGAGAGAGAGAGAGAGAGAGAGAGAAGGGTCCCCTTTATCAAGTTAATGAATTATAAAGTTCGAGAGGAAGCCGATAGAGAGAGAGATAGAGAGAGAGAGAGAGAGAGATATCATAAATCTCTCTCTCTCTCTCTCTCTCTCTCTCTCTCACCCTCGCTCGCTCTCTCTCTTTCTTTTTTCTCTCTTTCTATCGCAGCTTCCTCTCGAACATTATAATTTATAAACTCGACAAGTCGACCTATTTGGTGCGCACAGAAATTGATTATCTATTTGACCCGCGAGATCGAGACATCGACGTGGATCGATTCCGGCACTCATAGATAATACGGACAACTTGTTTACTTTCTCCCGCCCGCGATCCCCGGCACGGTAAGGATGTGGACAACAACGACGACGATGTCTTCTGAATATCAAACTGCGTTCGTATTTTCGAGCGACGTGCATTCTCGGTGTACAACTCGGTGCGCGTCGCAATCACGACGTTTACGTTTCAACGGATAACAAAATGAACAACGGTCGCATCGCGCTGCGGGAGCGATACAGAGCGGGAACAGTACAGCACGGTAAAAATGCCGTGAGATATCTATCGGTTAGATTTATAGAGCCGTCCTCGTGTATCTGTCATAACACGCTGACATTAACTCGTTGAATGACGGTGCATTTAGTCGAGAAACCTCGGTGATGTATCAAGCGAAACGCAGCGATAGTTAGCTGATATTAAGACAAATAAATATTCCACGGTGAAAATTTATCTGTCCGTAGGCACAGGACTTAATTTTTCTTTTTATTATGCCATTTAAATTATGTACCATATTACGTTCCCTGTACACTTAGCAGCGAACTTTCCTTTAAACGGAGAGAGGTTCTTATATCACGAGAAATTGCATTTTTCTTAATTATTAAAAGACTAAGTCAGGTTTCGTCTGCGAAATGTCTCTCGTTCAGCGATTTCGGGATGTGAAACTTGGACGCAAGATACATCCCTTGTGCGTCGGCGAAGATGAAGAGCTCCGTTGAGTTATAAGTTGACCATCTCTTTGCCATGTAATAACGCGCTTTGTCCGGGGCCCCAAGGCACGATATTAAGCATTCCAGGGCAACGATGCAATAATGCGGGGCTGTTCGATGCATAGGAGCTAAAACAGGAACGGTACGGACGAATTTAAAATATTCGCCGAAGATATTGCCCTGATCACGGTTACGCATGCAAATACAAGTACACACAACTGTACATAAATACATATATAGAGAGAGAGAGAGAGAAGAGGGAAGGAGGGAGATTGTATAACATAATTTCGGATCGGGATCTTTGGTTCTGGTATTTCTTGCTTCACCGAGTCGCGAATCTCTCACTTTGACCTACGAGAATGGACTATACGGCAGTCTTAACTGGATTATTGCATTCCGTCGCTGGATGGACGAAGAAACTGATTATTATCGTTCTGTCGACGAGAATGAAAACGGCGAAAATCAGAGTGAATCATGAAAAACATCGTGAGATATATGCGATACCGATCGTCTAATTGGAATTCATTTCTCATTTCTAGAGTACAACGAACTCGATTAATAAAACCCGTTTAGACGCTCATTAGATAAAAAAATTGGACTAGCTCGATAATTCCTGGAAATCTTTCGACTTATTAGAGCTACTAAGTCGCGCCATTACACCGATTGCTTATCGATAACGTAACGGGAGGAATCCAGAACAGTCGGACCGGGTGTGCAAATTGAAGATTTATCGATGTGAATTAATCATGAGTAATGCCAGATACTCATTCACTTGCTGAGATATTCTAGCGACCTTGCGATTCATTCGCACGCAATATGTCGAACATGACACACTCAATTAGAGTACCTATACCAAAGATCTGTTAAATAATTAAGTGATACATGAGAAGAGTAGCTTAAGGAAGATATTTTATCTTCCTTCAGCAACTATACTCATTCTTTTTTCGACAATTATATCCATTAAATATTTCATATCTGCTGTTTTATTGATGTTTTAAGATTTTATTAAAGATTTTATTGCTTTTCTTTATAGATAGCTCTTTATTTTATTTTACTTTTATTTTCTAGTTTTTTGCTGGTTTTTAAGATGCTTATCATCATCAACATCATCATTAAAATTAATGATCAATCTAATTTGAGGTACCAATATTTTTATTTCGATTTACGATTGCGTAACAAGTTCGACAAATCAAATCAACACGCCGTTTATAAAATCGAAAATGTATTTGCAAAAATTTGCATATGTGAATATTAAATACTATAATAAGACCTTTTATCGAAAATAAAATTATTTCTCTTAATTGATTTATTTCTTTATTTACCTAGATAGTCTATTTTAGTATTCCTAAAATGAAATAATACTAAATGGATATCCTCATCTTAATATTCTTATACTAATAGAATTAAAAATTTTATACATATTTCATCTGCTGTTTAATGACGTTTTAAGATTTCAACGTATTGCTCTTGTTTGTGCAGACAATTCCTTATTTTATCTTAATTGTCAAAATTAAATTATCTAAAGTATATATCGTTTTTTATATTTCGTTGTTAGTCGACTCATGTGTGCTTTTATTATTATTTTTTAAAATTTTGAGAGTTTTTTTCATCGTGATTAATTATTTTATTTCATTTTTATTTCTTCACATTTTCTACGAACGCGGTTTACTTTATAATATTTCTAAAATAGATATATGCCAAATAAATCTTAGGTTCCTATTCTGTAACTCTTAATGATAATAACGATATCATTATATTATCGTTGCGCAGCTTTTTTACTATGTATAAAACCTGTTAAGAGTTAGAGAATAGGGGCCTTAGTGTAAGTCTGGAGATTTCTCTAAAGACTTAAGACCACTCTAACGGTCACATTTTTAATTTTGCAGATATGAAACCTTCGGACAGGAGCGAGAAGGCTATGTTGACCGGAAACGCGCAACCATCGGACGTATTCTGTTCGGTTCCAGGACGATTATCGTTACTAAGCAGCACCAGCAAGTACAAAGTTACGGTAGCGGAGGTACAAAGACGACTGTCGCCACCGGAATGTTTGAACGCGAGTCTCCTCGGTGGCGTGTTACGAAGGTAAGAGACTGATTTAAAAGTCGTTGCACTCAAATGGATCTCGCACGCAGAAATAAATATATCGATTCACGTTTTCCCGTCATGTTTCTCCGTCACGATAAGTCGACAAGAGATTCGTCGATTTGCAGATGCAATAATTCTCTTTCCCCCTTTTCTCCCTAGCAGAGTTCTCAGAACAATTCTTTCGACAAAGAAAAACGGAGTCATTCATCCGTTTTTAATCACGCAAGTTTTTAATCATTCGGACCACCAGGCTCTCGCCAAAACCGTTAGGATAATTTGGTATTACACGCGAGGAATTAAATGTCATTGACATGAGAATCAGCACAGCTTTCACGAAGATGCCCGACATATATGGTACCGTTGTCTGAAGGAGTTAACTTGAGAATTATAAAAATTATTAAAAAAAAGAACGCTGAAATTTAAATTTTTTTTAAATTAAAGTGTTCAGAAAGGGAAATTCTACGTCACTGACGTGATATATCAAAGAATTTGTGGAGTATATGGGGGAAAAAAGAAACGAAAATCATCTAATCTGCATTGATACGAATCTCTGCATTCGCTCGCAGGCTCTACTAAGCCAATCGTATGCGCACGGAATGAAAATGGAGCTCGATCGCGATTTCCCATGAATATTCCGTCGCGCGCGGGGACGACGCGAGATAACAAGTGCAGCATCCCGCTTCCTACAGAGGCGCATTGAAAACGCAACAATTCGCGGTCCCGGATATATCGCGCTCTGTTATGGCTCGCGGTTGTTGCGGCTGCGGTAAGAAATGAAATACGAAACACACGGCGTTGCACATTACCGCCGACATTTCCGGTCGCCGTATCGAGGCAATCGGTATAACTGACACGGCGCGCGATCGGGACAATGCGTGCGCGTAAAAGATCGTAAGACGCACGTTGTTACACGGCTTTATCCGCGGGACTAATTAATAAACCCGCGCGTTCAGTTCATCTGGGCCCTCATGCCCAACTGAGCACAGACATTCACCTGATTTATAGACGCTCCTCATGGAGGAGCACCCCGCCTTTATCTGATTCACCGTTTTATCCGATGCTAGAGCACCGCTCATTGCGCAATGCTTTATCATCAAAGGCGTGGATAAATTGCCCTGCAAGCCCTGCGAGTCAGATATATTGTACTTCCACGCACTCCGTACGACTTTTCGCGCTTCCTTCTTTCGCAATAGGTATTACGAAATTACTGAAACATTACGAAATCAGGCGCGCCTTGCTCTATTACTTATTGTACTTAACGATTCTCCAGAAGAAAATTCAAGATATCGCAAACAAACTCGCAGAAAACTCAACGAAGCATCTTGATTTATTAAATGTTAAATATATTCAGTAAAATGATAACAATAATCCAATTGACACCAACCAAAAGTGACGTAACATCAATGTTATAATTTTACACTCATGACTCAATAATATAGGTATAATAATATAACGCATAATGTCACGTAACAGTTGATTGGGAATATTTTTGATAATATTTTAAATAATCCTATATAATGAATTTATATGAAATATAATTAGAATGTTAAGGATTAAAAAAATTATTATAATTAATGGACGTTTGAAATTCAAAAACAATTCAAAGTGTACAAGGTAGACGAGAGCTAGGCGTAGTTAATTAGGCGCAATACTAGAATAATGTATATTTATTAATATATAATAATAAAATTAACAAATGTCTTAAAGCTAGTCCAATCATATCTTGTTACATTTCAAATTATATTTCAAATTATATTTCGACACCCTAGTGGAAGGTACGTTCAATTCAAACGGAATGTGTGTCACTCAGTGATTGCATGGCTTAAATATTAGGTCATTTAAAAAGTATCCGCGTATTTTTTGTTCAATTTTTGAATGAAAAAACCGCGGATACTTTTTAAATGACCCAATATATAAGATAGATCAATAAGAGAAGTCTTTAAAAAAAAGATTACGAGTAATTATCGCGAAAAGTGCGCATTTTTTTCAGATGCATATTTTGAGATGTGTAATGTGGAATTATTGCTGACGCAAAATTTCATTAGGACAGTAATCTGAAGGAAAACGCGCACTTTTCGCAATGAAAGAAATATATCGCTCGACGCGTACGTTTTCACATATCGCGTGAACTCGTTCCGCGATATCGGAGTAACGGAGCGTGACAAATCTTTCTTGTCGCAAAGCGGACCGATCTATATATTACCAATGCAAATGAGACATTAATAACTCGCGAGTGTCAATTCCTCAGCGTGCGAGCGAGCGAGCGAGTGCGCCTCGAGGCGGACGCGACGTTATAATTCATCTATTCGCATAGCGATCTGACCGATAATTACACGCACGTTGGGTCGAGACTCGCCATAGATTCTCCCTCTTTCTCTTTGCTCCGTACAGTCCCTTTTGTCTCTTCCATCTTGTTCATTCGGTTTCATTCGTCGGCGACTCGCGTCCATGAGGGTTCAGGATCATCGCAATACGCTGCGAGAGATCATTTCGCGAAGATCGATTACGTTGTACCGTGACGTATGCACGTGCGCCAATACTTTTGTCGAAGATCCGCGCCTTCCGTTTTTGTTTTCACTTTGACCGATTTTCGATCGCCTTGAGCTCTATTTCATAACGCGCGTATTCTCAATGCGCTCTATTTATTTTTGCCTCTTTGAACGTACGCGCGGGATTTGTTCTCCATGCATGAACCAGCGTCCTGAATTATGGGAATATTGTCTTCTACTAAAACTCTGTATTAGTAAAACTAATGCATTTTTTTTTAATGCCGACAACTGCGTCTTCCTACTGTCTGCCTTCCTATCGTATTTTTCTAGTAATTTGATCTTGGATCTAATTGATCTATTGTCCAACACTGTTAGATATCAAAGGAACAATAGTAAACCAATCCTTAGAGTTAAGTAACATTTTGTTATTTTTAACTTCTATGTGTGACAAAATGTAAATCAATTCATTTCTATAATTAGTTTCAGAGTAAGATGCATTTAGATGCATAAATAATAAATTTAAGTCTAATTTATTTAATACTTTTATTGGGTTAAATTGTTCAACTCTATTGTTTTAGTCAAATTAATGATATATTGAATAGGAGCAATGGCGACGTATAGAAATGATTAAAAATAACTCAATTAGGCTATAATTTGACATTATGAATTTAACAATAAATAAGCGTTTAGTAATTCTCTCTCTTTAATATATTTATTAAATCTAACATGACTTTTATTTTTATTAATATAGAGTTCTATTGTCTACTAGTAAACTTGAGATCATAAAATTTATTGGATTAACGAGCCGACAATAGTATTGTCAATTGATTTCTTTTAGAGGCAGGATAATCACAAAATAAAGGTGGATAAATACAAATTACAAGACAAATGGCAAGAAAAAAAACTTGTTAAAATAATATTATATTTGAATCGATATCAAAACATATGGAGTTTCAAAAGTTGAAATAACAGCGTTTTACTTAGTTTTATTTTATCGCTCAAATATTTTTTGCGAATCATTGTATAAAAAAATTACACGTCACGTGTATATTTTTTCGTGTCGATGTTCTGAGATATTGCAATCTTCAAAGTTCGATGCGAAAATAGTCTATTGGGCGTTCTATCCCATCTAAAATTTATTTGGGATTAACAAAACCCTCACCTGCTCCGTAAATTGCTGTCGGATACCGACAGGCTTCTACGATTGGTTACCATCTGCTTGGAGTTTGAAAATCACGCAAGGTCATCAGGCTGGAGAACAAGGTTGACTTCCACCGTAGGATAGAAATTTTGCTGATCTATTTATTCCTCTATTTTTCTGTATTGTTACGATATATTCAGATTGGAAGAGATTATGCGCATATTGATTATGATAAAATCTATTATTATAAAAAACTATATAAGCCACAGTATTTTCATAAAAATACTGTTATTAAGTTTCATATTTACTGCAAAAAATAATGTTAGCGTAAAAAATCTATCGCATATTATTCTCTCAACGCAATGATTCTCATTAAATCTGTTAGCCGTAGAAATAAAATCTCATCGATCAACTTATCGATCTAATTTGCGCGAGCTATATTCCGATATTATTTCTTTGATCGAGTGATGTCGATAAAAACTAAATTCAAAACAGTTTTTTGAACTATTAGGAAGATTCTATTCATTATGCTACCTCTCTTAGTGTGATTATAATTATTAACTCTAGCAATTTATAAATTATAAAGTATTATAGTATTAATAAATAATTTTTTTAATTGTAGTTATTTGATTTTTGAAAGATAAAGAGAAAAATCTAGAAATATGATTTATATCATTAATATGATATTTTAGCATTAACATTAATAATAATTTATCTATACTATCATTAATGTAAATTATGAATATTAATATCAATTATTATTAATATAAATTTTTATTATTTATTATTTCGAAACCTTAGAAAGCATATAATATATAAACTACATTAATTCTATTATTAATTTATATCAGATTTCTAGAAAATTAATAATGTGCAATAATAACATTATTAAAATAAATATATCGTAAAAAAAAATTTTTTAATATCATAACGAGAAGGTATTGAAAATATTTTCCTTAAATATATTAATTTTAAACATTTCACTCGAAATACATGCAGCTATATTTTATAGCTGCTAATCATAATTCCGCCTCATTCTCGCGAACGATGCGGAGGAGCATTTTGAATGAGCCTTGATCATAAAGTCCTTCGGTTTTCTAATCTCGCATGGCATCTGTAGACGATTAACGATGCCAAGCGTTCGAGGATGTCTCAAGCAATCAGGGGAAGTAAGGGATCCACTATTCAGGATCTTCCTATCAGTGGAATCGACACCGAGGGTTGCAAATTCCGCGGAACCCCTTACACAGGAGAGAGCGACACGTCTGATTGTGAGAGGAACGAGGATTCTTCTTGGGACAAGTCTCCGGTAATGAATCGCAGCATCGTTTTCGTCACGTACCGAGAAACGACAATGACGGCCATTAAATATCGAAAATTCGATCCGGTCGGACGACCGTTTCCGCGATCAATTACATTTGTCAAAATTCTTCTGACATCGGGATATGTTACCTCGGGCTGCGCTTCGAATCAAATATAATCAACGATAATTATCGCGTTGTTCGAAACCAGTTTTAGAATCTATATCGGTAACAGTTTGATTAGGCTTATCATGCGGATCTATGTGAACGAAAATGTAAACGAGAACGTATGTTTTAGCAGTTCTGTCAATTTAATATATCAGATCTTAAATTTTAACATGACAGTATAAATTAAGAGGAAAGATTATACAAAACACAAACGATCATTCATTAGTAATACAATCAAGATTAAGGACGTTTTCCAAAAAAATTCATTTTCTTTAGATTTTTCTGAAACTTACAGAATAAATTTGTTTTAGTGTCCTTTAAAAAAACATATGTACTTTAAAAATCAATATCCGGAGCGGGATTAAAAATCGAATTATTTCACTTTAAAGTTGAAGCGTTTAAAATACACACACACACACACACACACACATATATATACATACATAAGATCCCTATCTAAAGTTTATTCAAAAGTGATCTTTTTATTTACTGTGAAAAAGTTTTTTTTAACAATTTTTGAAACAATGAGATATAAAACTGGATATCACAAGGAATAATATGAACTTTGTCTGAATATGACTTCCAGTATTCATTTTTAAGAAATCATTAAGCAAAGTAAGTAATACAGTAAGTAAAGTCGCTATTTTTTCGACCGGCGGCAGAAGCGACGACGAGAGGCATTTTATATATATATTTATATGTATAAAAAAAACTTGTATAAAAACATTAACACTTATGAAATATCTTATAAAAGTGAAATAAATTTTCATAATGGTGAACACTAATGTGCTCATTAGGTTGAGCATAACTACAGTTTCGGAGAACGTCCTTAATTAAATTCTTGAAAATTATTGGAAAAAATGTTTCTATGGCTATGTTCAACAGAGAAAACTAATCAGTTAGCGCTTAATGATTCTTTAATATGATTGATTCTCATCTTTATTTCTTTGCTGGATCTAAATGTAGAAATTAATTAAAGAATCGTAAATGTAAATGCTAACTGATTAGTTTTCTCTACTGAACGCAGCCAATATATAATATTATAAGCTTTATCTATCTTTAATAAATAAAAGAATATAAGTGTGTTGATTTATATGTTATGTGTATATTTTCACAATATATTTAAGATAAGAATGCTAAAATATCTATGTACACATATCTTTAAGATAAAAGTTCTCAATATTTAATATAAATGAAAACGTGCTCTTGATGCGCCGAGATAATTAAACTAGAGATAATTAATCGGTTTCTCTTCGGTTCTATTCTATAAAATGAGTATAATATCAAGTAACGCGGGACAGTGCGATTCAGAAATAATAAAATGAACAGAACGTAAGTTTGCAAAACGTAAATTCGGAGGAGCCGATATTAAAAACCCATAGCGGTAAAACGTATTAATTACCGAGCAAGGCGAAAGATTACCGGGCGAACCGGGCAGCCGAACTGAACAAAGGTAGGCGATACGCGTTACCGTTATAACAGGCCAAGATGATGGATGGACAGGGTGTGTTAAGAAAGAAGTCTCTGCTACTATCGCGTTCCCGTTGGTGTTCCACGAAAAAAATTTATTTCACAGCTTCTTACTTTGTCGATGGATTAACGACACGAAGTCATTGTCCTGTAAAAAGATTAAAACGCAATTTTTGATGATGTCTCGATAGACTTGGTCTGAAAGATCACGCAAGACGTATCCAATACATAATTAAGCGTAAAATCAAAGAGGATGATTAAATGTTTTATATAGAAGCATATAATTAACAATTGTTTATTTTTTATAAAATTTATATAAAAATGTACATTTATCTGATGTGATATTAGTTAAACTGCGTTATTCAACATTGAAAGGACATACACATTGTTCTTGTATCTGTATAAAATAAAGAACCATTTATTTAGCTAATGAAGCTATTTCTAAAGGTATTTAACACAGATATTTGCCAACACTTCCCGTTTACAATTAGTATTTAAATTGCGATTTTAGTCTTAACGTCGCGTTATCATTAAACGCTCTTTCAGAGGCAACAAATAAACGGCGCATCTAATTGACCGAAATCATGATTACAGCGAAGAGGTCTTAACTTTAATCAATCGTGAAACATAAACGCTTCATCTTTACAATCGCACAAGGGGCGTCGTTTAATAATTAACCCAGATACACGTGTCGGAGGAGAGCAGAATAGAAGTGTCGATAAAAATTCTATTCGCGCCTGATGTGCTCACTGATGACTGTAGCTTGAATAGCTCATTCTATGCGAAGAACACAGTGCTCCTTTCTTTCAGGCTCGATCCTATTCCACAAAACGCACGTGCATGAACGGTACGAGCGCATCTTTGAGCTTGCTCAATCATCGATGACACACGTAGCCCGCGGATTATGCTAATCTAACCGTATTTCCCTCTCGTTGCCGCTATCCCTCTCGCACCTCGATTTCATCTTTTTAGAGATCACGGCGAAATGATTAATGGAAGAGTTCCGTTTCGAAATTCTCACGCAGCGGAACGGGTCGAGAACGTAGGCGTTCGCATATGTCCGAACAAGTGTTTAGAACGGTAGAAAAATAATTGATCAATAAATATTACGATGAATCTCTTGTTCTGTGGCGTACGTAAATTTTCCATAGAGAATAAATCAAATAAATGAAACCAAATAATCACGCTGGTGTAATCTAGTAATTTAGTGAGGCTATAATATCACTATATGAGAATTTTAACCTCTGACCGAGTTTAGCGGTTTGTATTAAATGTTGATGATTATATAAAATGTAGATTTAATATATGTAATCATTCTTCTTTAAGAAATAGAAAGATGCAGAAGATTGTTGTAAAAATATTTTTAAAAAAATATATAACATAAAATATGAGAATCAAAATATTTACCATACATGATGACATAAACAATGCCATGAATTGAATAATATCATAAAAATTGCATTAAATGGCGTTAAATAATACCACAAATTTTTTTATTGATAAAATGACACATATTGTGTTATTTAAATAACATTAAAAAAGTATGAAGAGCTTCATATAAAAATATATTTTGCATTTTGCAGGGCGAAATCCAAAAATGGCGGGCGTCTGCTTAGGGAAAAACTGGAAAAAATTGGTTTGAATCTACCAGCCGGTAGAAGGAAGGCCGCCAACGTCACGCTCTTAACTTCTTTAGTGGAAGGTGAGTGCTTTCATTTCTTCCAAAAGTCTCATTTACGAACTACAGTTAAACAATTCGCGAGAAAAATAACATATAACATTATAAATAAATCTCCAATAAATCTCATGTGTATTACAGACTTGATAGTCTCGTAATAATTAAATATTAATATATTGCTATGATTTATGACTTTGTTAAGCAAATACGATCACGGGTCTATCGCAGATACTTATTGCCACATACATTATACATGATCGTTTCTATTCTTGATTTTCAAGCTTTTAACGTTACTTTACATATGAATTTTGCGTATAAATTACTGCTTTTTGAGATCAGAATATGTGATCAGAACGAATATTCTATCGCTTGAAATCATAAAATTAGAATCTTTAAATTAAAAATCTTATTCTTGAAAATAGACTAATATATCTAAATTTTCAGTTAATTTCAACTTGACTTTAGTTCAACGGTACATTTATTCAGAGTTTAAAGAACTTAACATAGATAAGTTATAGAAAAACGATGTCTAACAAGATTCTGGTTAAAGAAAAATTTCATTTAATACGAATCGTTGCACCTAAGAGAAAGCACACTTTTCAGAACAGCTTGTATATAGTATTTAAAATAGTGACCGATGTAAATTACTTTTTATTGTCTATATATTAATCAAGTTAACAGACATTTGTCGGGCAAAGCAGTATTAAGGTTGCTTGAACTGCACAATATCTTCATAAACTCTATTACATCTTGGAGCGGGTATGGCATATGCTTGTCCCATAAAGCGCGCGATGAAATCATCTCTTCTGTGAAATAACGCGAACGTAAAATCTTTTTCCTACATGGTAATGGTGGATGTGTCCTTTTTCCTCACCGGTAATCGTTTTCTTCATTAGCAACATTGATCGTATCCGGTATAAACGACAAACATATAACCAAACGGGAAGCTTTCTCTGCACGGTATTCCAATTCCGTAATGCGGTCACACTATTTACACGGAACTTTTACATTCCGCTGTGCATTAATATCCGCGTAATGATAAGCTGATGTGTGCGACACAGTAATCATGTCATCTTTGTTTAACATTGGCAACAAAGATGTAATGATCCATTGTGTCATTTGCGTCGCTTGTTGGAAGACACACGATATCAATAATATTTTTGAAAAAAGAATGTTGGAAGCGTTCACACTATAACATTATAATTTTATCAATTACTATTTTTCTTGCTATATTTTACAGAAAAAATTAAACGCATTTATTTATACAATAATTGCATTATTTTTCTTGATAAATTAAAATTTTTTTGTAACAAAAGTTTGATGAAAGAACGTTATTTAATTTTCAATAACAGAGAATTAGGAGCCGCAGTAATGTGAATTTCTCTTTTCAAATAATAAAGAAATGAGATTTTATTGAACAAAAGTTTCTTAATGTTAAATTAATATTTATTATCAATTAATTAGATTATTTATTAATTTTATATTAAATTTCCCTCATACACAATTATAATTTTGATCTAAATTAAAATATTTTGTCGTCGAATTAATAAATTTAAATTTTCTTTAGTAAATTTTTTATATTATTATATTTTCAACTTATTAAAAAATCGTCTACATACATTTTTTTGTATTTTTGTAAAACTTCTCAATGAAAAACGATATATAAATCTTTAATAAAATATTTGATATAAAAAATTTTTATAAAAATATTTAATAAAAAGATAATTATTAACGTGTTTTTTCATGGAATAGAAATCATGTTTAATTTATCTAGCTCGATTGGTTTATATAAAATATTTATAGTGTAAATTTCCCGAGAGATTCTTATTAATCGGGGTCGATGACCAATGCATTAACGATTAATCGCGTAATCACGCATTTTCCCAACGCGAGTAACACTCTTAAATGTAACGTTCTTCGATTTATTGCCGTTGTAATTTGTAGAAGGTTACCTCTTCGCGTCTTTACACCTCCCTTCTTCGCCGTGACTCCGAAGAATTACATTCCTTGCGACGCCCACTTGTCTCGTAGGGCACAGTGATGAAATCATCTCTTTGGAATAGCACGCGCATCAAGGCGAATTTACACGGTCTACGCTTGATGATCATCTTGAATGAGTCATTTAAGCAGCTGAATGGATTTTTGTTTAGACATGCGGGATTAGTCCCTAAGCCTCGCAAGATAGAACAACCGGCAAACAAAGCTACAAGAAAATAAACATTAAGAATTTACCATCTGTACCTCGCATTTAACGCGAGTATTTAATTCGAAAAAGATTTTATTTCTGTTTAAATATGAATTCTTTTATATTAAAGAACAAATTCTATGTTGTCTTTGTAACATACAGTTTTCAATTATGATAATTAATACTAAAACTACCGATGATTAATTTATTTAATTATATTACACACATTATATATATATAAAAGAAAGAATAAAAGGAGAGAAAGTAAATTGATCATTCTATTATTTATATATTGAACAAAAGAAGATATTGTCATAGAAGATCTTGAAAAATACGCCATTATAAATTTGAGTAATTACAAAAAAACTTGACATATCATTTATTTTTAATAGTATTAATTCCGCAGACGAAACTAGAAATTCCACTTCCTTCATTCTTGCTTTTTCTGATCAATCTAATTCACTACGCTTTCTTTTCTGAATAATTCTCTCGGACGCTCATCAAAGACGAGCCACGTACCTAAACTCGGCTTTAGAGACATCGTCTTCGTCCTTCCGCATTATGACAGTAACAACGAGTGCGAGCTTTTTTGCACCGGATACAGGACATTGCGCGAGGCTAATCAGAGAGAGAAAGAGGAGGATAGAGGAGGAGAGACTCTTGCGGGATATCCCATCTGCGCGAGAGAGCGCTTAATAACGAGCGCGCAACAAATGCGTACATGCGTACAATTGCCTTCCCGCACCTCCGCCGCAGCAGCGCCCTAATGACGCGCCTGGAAGTTTGTTAGAGTGTTGGCACGGACGTTGATTATAATTTATGGTCGGCGGGGCTTCCATAAAACATCGGCCGTGCTTTTCTTTCCGAGTCGACGCGACGGCCACGCTTGGCGGCGACACGCGCTGTAAACGCTTTCTCGACCGAGAATTCACGAAGATTTGAGTCCGGCATTTTGCCAGAAATGAATAAAACGCGCAATGAATAAAATGTCTCAAATAAAAAAAAATGTATTAGAATCAAAATCAGAGTTGTCATTTATTAGACTCTAACAGGGTTGAGTAAGTTAATGTATTTTTTATAACTGAATAAAGTTAAAGTTAATGGCTTTACAAAATTAATAAAGTTAAGTTAAAAGTTGAAGGAATAAAAAATTAACTTAACGTTTTAAGTCAATATTGAATTAATTTAAGTTAAGAAAAAAGTTAACTTTGAAAAAAATTATTTTTTAGATCAAAATGTCCTGATTTTTCTTAAAATGAGATTAAATAACTACAATATAGATTATTAAGTAAATTAAATTTTTAATTTTTTTATTCACATGTGATACAATAAGCATAGACTATGGCTGCATTGAACGCTGATGTGCTTAAAGCGCATGAGCGTTAATGCTTCGGCACACCAGCGCGATTTGCGACTTGCAGATAGTCAGATAGGTTTTCAGGTTTTTACTTTTTAATAAGTCTTAAGCTACAAGAAATTATAATCGAATGCGAGAACAATATTTGACTGTAATTGATCAATTTCTTATGACTTAAGGTTTAAAACACCTATTGTAGATTCGAATTAAGGCTTATGGCATAAGGCATAACCAATCAATTAGAAGACTGTATTAGCATCTTACTTAAGATGGTCTTAAAATATGAACAGATTACGAATATACACCCTCAGTCTTATTATATTTTATTTTTTTTCTAAGATATTTAAAAGAGATGAAAAAATTTTTTAACTTAAAAAAAATTAACGTTTAAAAGTAACTTAGTTAAGTTAAAATTTAATGCATTTAAAATTAACTAAGTTAAGTTAAAAGTTATTAACTTTTTTTTTCACTTTTAACTACTACCCAATCCTGGACTAACTACATTCCTTAAAATGTAAAAACATTATTACAAAAAAAAACAATACGGTTGTTATATTACAATATAATTATAACATATATTACAATGTAATTATAACATAAGATGCAAAAAACAAAAATGAAGAAATAAAAAATAAAAATAGACATCTACTTTAGATAAAAATATACTTGATACTTAACACAACATCGTCCAAACTTTGTAATATTTATTTTCCGGATAAAGAAAGCGCGTCTAAATCTCGAGTAAATATAAAACTCAATGCAATGCGCCAATTAACATTTTGCGACGTAAAAATTCAAGATAATAAATCGCCCTTTCGCTACAACTCTACCGTGCCGGCAGCTGTATTGCTGTAAATCGTTGCATTGTTACAGTACCGTAAATTGTGCGCAAGCCGACCTGTCGATTTATATCATTAATTGTCGAACAAACTGAACATTACTGGTACACAGTTTCATGATATCAAAGCATGTATATCTCGCGGTTTGCAAATTAATAATAGCTTTGACAAGGCAAAACTAATTATTCCTTGAATTATCCCATCTCTATACAGCATCCCCGTACTTGAAAATAAAAAGAATAAAAAAAAATAGCTCATTTATCGCGTTCATCGATGTGACTCGTTTAATCTCTTTCCTGTTCAGCTAACCGCGCCTGGGAAGAAGCTCAAATACGCGTATAATTACCATTTGCATACAAATCGCTCCTGCCATGAGATTAGGACAATCGCTGCCATTAAGCGATCAAAAATAGTGTATAATGTATCCGTAAATATATAGATTTGCGACAGCTTTGCGGCGATCCCGTTTCTTAATTGCTACTTGAGCCTTTATCGTACTTTAATGATAGGGAAGACGTAAATAGTAGTGATGAACTAACGACAATGCTCGTGGTATTCTTTTTCTGTACGTGCGGTACATAAACTCAATGTGAGTTTCGCGTTTTAGGTTTACGTCAGACCAATGCAATCTTCTGCGAATAAT